TATATATATTATATATATATATTATAAATTATTACAGGCAAAACATCCTCAATATTTACAAAATATAGAAAATGCAAAACGCAACTCTGTAAAACGGCAAAAGGAGGATTCGTTTAACTGTAATGTACAGAAAGAACAAAAATTAGAAAGATGAGGCTCTGGAAAGCTTACCATAACTCGTTATGGTAAAAAATAAAATATGTTAGATAAAGCTATACTGCGATTTATTATTGAAGAGCTTCAGCCTTTCTCAATTGTAGACAGTCCAGCTTTTATTGACTTAGTAAGAAATGGACTGCCATCATCTATTCGAATAATATCTAGAAGATCCGTAAAAGATAAACTTCAAGAAGCATTTTATACAATGAAAACGAATCTTCAAAATAAATTAGTTGAAGTGGAAATAGTGTCAACTATGGAGCAGACCTATGGAGTAAAATGAAAAGATTATATTAAAATACAATATATAAATAATTTATTAATTTTATTTAACTACTAAAGTTTGTATATATTAATGTATTATATTACAATTTAAAAAAATGCATAGTTTTTAGGTTTTTACTATCAGTTTTTATTTATAAATGTAGCAGAATGTTGTTGCAGGAGTTATTTAGGAATAACAGTCCACTGGATTGATTCTAAAACTTTAAAGAGAAGCTCGGCTGCTTTGGCTTGTCGCAGAATAAAAGGCAAGCACACCTATGATGTTTTGGCTAAAGCTATCAATTCCATTTTTCTAGAATATCACATACAAAATAAAATTTGCTCTACAACTACTGACAGTGGATCTAATTTCGTTAAAGCGTTTCGGTAATATTTTACAATATTTAATATATATTTTTAACATTTTTTCTTGCAATATTTAAGATATACATATATTTATAGAAAACAAATATTTTAATAACAACTAATATTGTTTGTCTTTAGAGTCTTTGAGAAAGATGACTGAAGAATCCTCTGAATCCTGTATAGAATTTTACAATTTAAACGAATTGTTAATGATGAACGAAGAAGAAAATTCCATAGATGCAGAAGACGTGATTACTCTTCCTGCACATCACAAATGTATTAATCATCAATTAAATCTAATTGCTGTAAAAGATTCGGAAAAGGTCTTGGAGAGTAATATATCGTATAAAAGAAAATACAGAGCAGTATTTGCAAAACTGATGAAATTGTGGAGTAAACAAAATCAATCTAGGCAGGTAGCTGACAAAATAAAAGACATATATGGCATTTACTTGAAAACTCCTGTTATTACAAGGTAAGAAAATTTTCTATTCTGTATTTATAAATAATATAAATATTTTCCTTTAGAAATACACTTGTTTCCTTTTAATTTAATAATTTCTATGTTCAATAGATGGAATTCTATGTTTGATTGCATAGTCAACTCATACAGATTCTAAAGTGTAATTCAGAATCTATAAACCAATGTTTTGATTATTGCAGTTTGCAAAGACTTAGTGATAATGACATTAAATTTTTAGAAGAGTATTGTCAGGTAAGAAAAAAATGATATCACAAATTTTGTAGGATTAATTATTATTTATAAATTATCAATTATCTTACATATATATTGTAAAATGTAGATCTTATATTTTTTATATTTTTTATTTGATTAAGGTAATGGAACCTTTGGCACTCGCATTGGACATTTTACAAAGTGAGAATGGAATGTACATGGGATATTTATTATCTGTTTTGACTACTTTAGAAGAAAAATTAGAAAAGTAATTAAATACGGACAAACTTACAGAATGCTATGCACTACTTATTGCTATTCAACAAGGACTGCATAAAAGGTTAGATAATTTAATTAATTTAATAAGATAATAAATAACAATAAATAATATGTATAATAATATATAACAATAGTTCTTTCATTGTTTTTTGATTTATAAAGAGTCTTAGTTAGGTTGATTTATTATACGATATTGCAATAGTATTTATAATAGTATATAATAGTATAGTTATTTTTTTAAATAAAATAGTTACATATTTAATAAAAAAACTAGTAATAATGAAGTATTAAATTTAAAATATTAGTAACAAAAACAAACTTATAACTAATTTTAGATTTTCTATATTATACGAAAAAAAAGAATTAATAATTGCAGCTTGTCTGCATCCAAAATTTAAATTAAATTGGTTAACGGGAAACAAGAAAATTATTGCCGAAAGTTATTTGGAAGACTTATTAGGAATTAGCTCAAGCGAAAATTCTCCAGATAAACAAGCTGGTGACCCTGATGATGATTTCTTTGATTTTCACTCAAAAAAGCATTCTAAACAAGAAGAATTACAACAATTTTTGAAATCAAACAACTGTAATATTGAAATGTTAAATAATTATTCGAAACTTAAAAAAATCTTTATTAAGTACAATACATCACTTCCAAGTAGTGCATCAGTAGAAAGATTATTTAGTTGCGGAGGTTCCGTATTAACGCCTCAAGGAGGTCATCTTAATGATGACACAATGGAACAGCAACTTCTTCTAAAAGTAAATAAAAATTTTCGATAAAATGTAAATATGAAACTTTTTTAAATGATATATTCTTATAAATAGATGTATTCTTTAAGATATATGCTATTATTTAAATTATTATATGAATTAAGTAAGTCACAAAGAAAATAATATAGTTGACAGTTTAATATGTTTTAATCTTTATATTTTAATAATAAAGTATTTGCTTTGTTTCAGCATAACAAAAACTTGGTAACAATCAGCAGTGAAGCAAGTGCAAGTGAACAATGTGATACTTATTATAGAAATATAGGACATTGCGAACAGTAAACGTACAACATGGTTAGAAATATTATCGTGGTACCAAGACTGCTATAGTATATTATAATAGTATATTACAGAGTATATTTTAATTTCAAAGAGCCTACCAGATTACGTGCAATACATGCAATTATAACATGTTTATTCTTTTATTTCATAATTTATCCTTAATTTTTTAAAAAAAAGTTTGGAATTAATATCTTATACTGTGTTCTAATAGTTACTTTAGCATTATAAGGAAAATAATGAAAAAATAACGAATCGTTACTTTTCAAGTAACTGTAACGGTAACGCGTTACTTTTTAAAATTGGTAACGGTAACGGTAACGCGTTACTTTTTTGAGGTAACGCGCACAACCCTGGTTCTTTGCCATCTGCTTAGTCGATTCTCCTTAACGTTAATCAAAGTCGGTTCTGGTACAGTGATAAGAGTGTCTCCAATTGAGAAATGTCCAGGAGAAAGAAAGAATAAATCGTTTGGATTTGATAAGATTGTTAGAGGACGGGAATTTAAAATGGATTCAATTTGAATTGTTAGAGTTTGCATCTCGTCCATTGTGAGCAAAGAGGTGCCTGTAACTCGTCTAAAATGGGATTTAAAGGACTTTACAGCAGCTTCCCAGATTCCTCCAAAATTCAGTGCCCTTGGGGGAATAAAGTGCCAGTTTATGCCTTCTTCTGTAGCTGCTTGTGCTAATCCTTCGTGGTGGTTTGAAGGTTGAACGCGTTGTTCAGGCAAATTATCCATCAAAGATTGAATTGATTCAGGAGATGTTCGAAAACACCGCACACATTTATGGATTATTTGTCAAATGATACTACGACCATTCAATAACCAAAATTTCTGACGAATGGATGCCAAGGTTGTTTGTATTCCGGCGTGAAGCAATTTGATGTGTTCTCGTTCAATGAGCAAACGGGTGAACGGACGTTTGGAAGGCAATACTAATTGATGTTTGGCTGAGTATGGTAACTTAGAATTTTGAAGTCTCCCTCCAACACGAATGAGCCCACCTTCATCTAGAAACGGGTTGAGTGATCGAAGTTTACTGTCTGTTGATATTGGCTTGTCAAGTTGCAGACTCTTTAATTCCTGGGCGAATACTGTTGCCTGAACATTTTTGACTAAACAAAGTTGCTGCATTCAATTCACTCACTTTCAGAAACCCATGTGCATCAGTCATTTGACCACGACATTTGTTGATGAAACGTAGGCAATATGCGATAACCCGTATTAATTTGTTGAGAGATGAATATTTGTGATAATCTACCACTTGTTCATTTGCTAGAATCAATAGAAAGCCATGATGGACCCTTCCACCAGATATCTGATTGAATCAATGAGGCTGGAGATATGCCTCGCGAAATTATATCAGTTGGATTTTGTGATGATTCCACGTAATGCCAATTATTTGGGTTTGAGAAATCTTGAATCATGCTGACTCTGTTTGCTACAAATGTGGTCCACTTGCTTGAACATGCTATGGTAGAGGATATATGGTAGAATCAGACCAGTAATAGACACCATTAAATTGAACGTCGATAGCGACTAAAATCTTCCGAGTCAACTGAGCTGCCAGTAGTGCAGCACATAATTCTAACCTTGGCAAAGACAATTTCTTTAATGGTGCAACCCTAGATTTTGCACACAGAATATTTGCATAATGTAAACCATCTGCATTGGTAGTGCGTACATAAATACAGGTTCCACATGCTCTTTCACTAGCATCTGCAAAGGCGTGTAATTCTATTTTCTTAATGTTTCTGTGTACAATGACAGTTCTTGATATGCGAAGTTGATTTAGTTGAGAAAGCTCTAATTCGTATTGTTGCCACTTAGTGTCGATGTCATGAGGGACCGCTTTATCCCAATCCAGCCTTAACTGCCACAGCCCTTGCATTAAAATTTTTGCTGTGGTGATGACTGATCCTAATAATCCCAACGGATCGAATATGTGAGCTATGCTAAATAAGATTTGCCGTCTGGTGATCCTTTCAAACTATTTAGAATTGTCAATGTGAAAACTGAACTGATCCTCCTCCGAGTTCCATTGCAATCCAAGCGTTGATATGGTAAAATCTTTGTCAAATATCAAAGGGTCAGTTGAAGTTACTTGAGTCAAACCTTCAAGAATTGACGGATGGTTGGAGGCCAACTTATGCAAACAGAATCCAGCTTCGTTTAAAATAGACTTGATTTCCTGAATGATCTCCTTTAATTCTTGTTTTGTATTGGCTCCAGTAATAAGATCGTCAACGTAAAAGTCTGATAGAATTCGTGATGCTCGAAAGGGTGTTTTATCCTGCTTGATTTTGGCTATTTCTTGCAATGATCGGACGGCAAGATAGGGAGCACGGGCTGTCCCATACGTAACTGTATTCAATTCAAAAACTTGAATTTCAGATTCACTGTGATCATCCCACAAGATCCTCTGTGAACTTCGATGATCTTCATGGACCAATATTTATCGATACATTTTTTGTATATCTCCAGTGAGAACGTATGGCCATTTACGAAATCTGATGAGCAAAGTGAAAACATCCTATTGTAGTGTAGGTCCCGTCATTAATGTCATTAAGCGAGACTCCTGAATCCGTTTTACAGGAAGCGTCAAAATCGACTCTAAGCCTTGTAGTCGTACTGGTAGGTTTTATCACTGCGTGATGAGGTATGTAGTTTATTCTTTCCACATCTTGCTAGTTTGAAGTTACTAATTGCATATGATTGAGAACTTGATAATCCTTGATAAATCGAGTATATTCTTGCTTCAATAATGGATTTTTATTCAATTTGCGTTCAAGCGAAGGAAATTGTTTTAATGCAGTGTCATGTGAATTGCCAAGTGATTCCAAAACATCTTGTTTAATTGGTAGTTTAACTACAAATCTGCCTTGATTGTTACGAGTATGAGTTCTTTCATAATGCTGTTCGCAATCTCTTTCTTCAGCGGACCGAATGGGCTGCTCATAAACTTGTTCAATTTGCCAGAATTTAGCAATGGCCTCGTCCAATTCAATGGCAGATTTAATCGTTGCATTGCATACTACCGATTTAACATGCTTGGAATTGGATGGATATTTACCACCCAAAATCCAACCAAATAACATTTTCTGTAACAATGGATGTTCCACAGATTCTTTGATTCGACCAACACATAAAATATCCCAGAATGTTTCGGCTCCTAGCAATATTTCTATATCCGTTGATTGATAGAACGTTGGATCCGCTAACTGTACCTTTTGTGGAAATTTAAAATCTTCCTTATTGAGCGACGTATTGGGTAAGCATTCGCTTATTTGCTTTAATACCAGACAGGTAACTGTGATATTGTATGAACAGTATCTTGAAGTTACGAAGATCTCAACCATTTTTTACATGAGTCCAAGCTTGATTGACTCCCATGATGGGAATGCTAACCGATGTTGTAGTGAATCCCAATTGTATTGTGACGTTTGCTACACGTCCTGCAACTGCTTGATTTCCAAATTTTAACAGTGTGAGATAATGACCAAAGACAATTTAGACACAATTTATTTTCCTTTGCGCTTTTAAATCTATCTTCGGGTGCTAGCTTGAGAAATTGGGAACATGAGAATATGAAATGTTCACCCTTACAAATTTGATATAAAGCCTTATTCGTTGCCAAGTGAGCTGCAGATCTTGCCTGGTTGGCCTTGCCTTGTGATGTTGAACTGGATTGCATCTGTATTTTTCGATCAATTGCCTCCAAAATGTGACACCTATGTTCTAAAAATTCTATTAGCTTGTGCCATGTGGGAATATCATCACCAGTAAGACTATTTTCCCACTCCTTGTTGGTTGTGGAATCCATCTTCCCACTTATCAAGTATAAAAGGACGTCGTCCCAATAGTCGACAGGACGCTCCATTGATCTCAACGCTCTCAAATGCTTTAAAGCGCCATCTAATAATTGACGTAATTTTGTGTGATTTTCTTTGCTTATTGACGGCAGATCGAACAATGCTTTGACATGTTTCTGAATAATCAATCGTTTATCGTCATAGCGTCTTTTCAGCATTTGCCATGCTTCCCTGTAATTGTTCGCTGATATTTCTAACGACTGAATTATTTCAGCGGCTTCACCTTTGAGGGCAGCCTTGAGGTAGTGGAATTTCTGTATTCCTGATATAGAGTGATTGTTGTGTATCAATGATTGAAAATGTTACGTCCCTAAAATTTAAACACTTAGATATAAGAAAACGCACACCTATCTTAGAACCTTAGC